GGGTAACAGGATTGCTCTTGGGTCTATTCCTTGTTTTCAGCCCTACACCCCCCACTCCCCAACTGTGGATGTTTCGGGGCTGTGATATTTAGGAGGAAAGGCTGAACCATCCGGTGCTGAACTGACCCGGGGACGGTTTCTCCGTCTCTCCTGCCGACCTTCAGCACTTTCTGCTGCAGGTCACATCCCCGTCACTCAGCCCCCCACCTGCCCCAGAGAGCACCGCAAACCTCCAGACACTTATTTTAAAATGAATCACTAAAATAGCCTCCCTTGCTTTGCCAGGCACAGATTTAAACCGTTTACATGAATTTACCAATCCAAACAGCAACCTGAAGCATTTTGTGAAGCATTAAAAAACATCAAATTAACTCGTATCACCTCATTTCTCTCTGCTTTGCAGATCTGTATTTAATTGTAGGATTTGACTGTTACTGCACAGCTGTAAGTTATTAAAGCACCGATTCCCATCTTGGTTATAATCACAAAGGCACATTTCACACCTGGAATCTCCCTCTTCCTTGAGCAGTCTCCCACCTCACTTCAGTTTGTCTGCATTAAAAAAAAGAAAAAAATACAAACCAAACCAACCATGCCTTGACTCACTACTGAAGTTATGATTAAAAGGAACTGGATGAAAGAGCAGTTTTAAATGACACCAGGAGCAGATGGACAGCGGATTCTCCACTCACAGCTATCAGACACCTGGTTCCATGTAGCACCCACCAAGATCAGAGTCAAATCCTTGGAGCAGGCCAGAAGAAGGTCTAGTTGCTTCTCAAAGCTTTTTAAGTCAGCCTGGAGCCACCTGTAGACAAGGGGGTAAGACAGCTTTCCAGGAAGAAAAAAAAAAACACAACAAAAAAAACACACTGAAAAAGTATTCAGTTTTAATACACAACGAAAAATCTAATTTAAACAAAATAAGTCAGTTACAAAATGTACAGAAGATACTAACATTTCACACAACTTCATTAGTGCTGTTACTTTTTGGTGGTTTGGGTTTTTTTAAGACCCTGAGCCATGCTGCACGCAGCAGTCCCTCCAAAACCAGCGAGGTCACCTAGTTTCTATTCTGTGAAAGGGAAAGTGGAATCACACTCATTAAGATAAACTCCACTAAAGAGTCTGTAATTGATTTCGCATTTTAAAGTGTAAAGCTCTGCTTTGAGTTTAATTAACCAATAAACAGACTAGTCACTTACTTTAAAAAGGCAAGGTATTTATTTTTGTAGGGAATAAAAATAAACTGTAATACAAGTGAAACTTCAGGGAACAAATACATTTAAAGAAAAAAAGACACAGTGCTCCTCTAAACATGGTACAATTTTTTTTTTTTTTTAAGCAGTGCATTAACTAAAATGACTTACATGTATACAGCCATCGCAGCACATTCAAGAATATGGGATTTCGTCATCCACAACTTTATACAACTGTTCCTCAACAATTACACTGACAAAAATAGCGACTGACTTACAGCAAAAACATTTACAATTTTCAGCTGAGTACTACACACAATTTTCGGTACGTTCCTACAGAGATCAGTTTGGGGAGGATAGGAAAAGTACTTATGTGTGCTCAGTTACACATGACTGGGTCCAGTGCTACAAGTTAATCCAGTAGTATGCTGCTACATTAAGTACAGACTCACATACACAGATAAATGGTTTGAGACGAGATCTAGGTCAAGCATTTCAACCTACCTTCTTTCTGCATTGCTTTTGTTGTTCAGAGATGCCAAAAGGCCGCAGCGCTGTACATCACAATACCTGCCCTAACAAGTTACACCGACTGCAATTGGCACCAACCTGGCTGCTCTTAGTGCTAAAGACGCTTATGAAAACATGGACTTTTAACATCACCTGGTTCGAGACATTCCTCAGCTAGTTAATCAAGTGCTGTGTATTAATTAAAACAAAACTCTTACATTCAGAACAGATCCTTCCCCCCACTCTGCCCTGAGGCACGGGAAGTGCCTGTATGTGCAAGAGGGACAGTGTGTAAACAAGGAGTAACTGCGCTAGGGCCGTACAAAAAAAAAAAAAATGACCCCAGCACTCCATGCAGAGCAGTGGGGAAAAGAGCAAAACAGCAGGAACGTTTTAGAGTTCTGGTCACTCGTGAATATTCATTACTAAACAGTGCCAAGAAATGATCCCTTTGCGGGGGAGCAACCGCCCGGCCCGGAGGCTGCCCAAAGGCCAGCTGTGCCAGGAAGTGAACTGAAGCGGCACCTGGCGCAAGAGCTCTTTTAAAAATGCTTTTCCTGCAGGAGCTACAGCTCTGTCGGGCGCAAGGGCACTGCTAGGGCTCCCCACCTCCGAACCGACGACGGAAACGACAAACACCGGGCACTTCGACCCGGAGGTTCCCACCCGCGGCCCGACAAGGTGTAACTGGAGGCTGAGGTCCCGCGACGCCCCGCGCACCCTCAGCTCCCAGCAGCTCGCTCTCCCCAGGAGCTGAGCGGCTTGCTGGAGCAAGCTGCAGCTGGGCAGCCACCTGCACGCAAGCTGTCTCCTCCATCCCAGTCAGGGTAGCTCCGTGTACCGGTGAGCACCCGCCTACCTGGTGTAATTTTTCTCCTAAGCGCTTCAATGGAAGGCAGGAACAGAATATGCAGCTAGAAGCATGTTATGCCTACAGGCTTTAACAAGCTGCTTTTTCCCTCCCAGGGAAGAGGGGCAACTGAGGACTGCAACATCCGTGGGCAAAGCCTTCATTCCCTTCCCTTTTTTTCCCTGTAAAGCGAGCAGCACCGACTGGATTTTCTCTACCGCAGGCGACAATGGCAAAACAAAACACAATTTAAGAATCCAGCATTGTGAAGTTCACATTAAGACATTGCAACCGAGAAATAAAGCTACGCAAGTCCCTCTTCTACTTCAAAGTAGCAGCTTTAACGCAGAGTATTACAGGCACTTGCCCGCTGCAACGCTGTACCTATTCGTAGCAAGAGAGACACTCTGTACAGGCATGAAACCGTGACACCATGGAGTACCTTGGCAAAGCAAGAGGTGCTCCAGAAAAGGAAAAGTTCTACACAAACAGAGCCCGTCTGCAGCAAACAGGATCCCTCCTCCCTCCCGGTCAGAAGAATCCAAACGGAAAGCAGCAAGTTGAATTATCCACTGAACAGCTCCAAAAAACCCCACAGTACTCCTGACTTCCCAACGCACGGATGCTCCACTAGGAATAAATAAGTTATAGTAACTTTTCACCTACACAGTGCTTACTAAGGAGATTCCTACGTAACAGCTTTTAGATTTCCTTTAACACTTTTAGGGAACGTATAATCAAGTCAGACACCACTGTCAGCAGGGCGCTCCGTAAGGAGGGAGCACGAGCCTTCTGCAAGGCTCTGGGAAACCAGTCCTGGCTGATCAGGGACCGGAGGACACGCTGCAGCGCTGCAAACGGCTTTTCATTTTTGGTCTTAAAACACACGAGAGTTACCACCCAAACTACAAAGCCTCTAGCTAATCGGTTTTTAAAGGAGTCGTCTCCTGGAACGACAGGAAACCCTGGAATCTTTTCCAGCTCTGTAAATTTACAGCACCATCATGAATAATCTTCAATATGTCGTAGACTCTGACTAGGCTTGTATATATTAAATCCAAGAGGTTTAAAAAGGCAGATCAGTATCCCTTTTTTTTGGCGAGGTTTTGCATTTCAAAGTATAAAGTCATCCATTGTTTTGTTACTGAAGTCAGAAGCAGCAACATTACTAAAATCTTACTAATAGTTTCAGTGTATGAAGTAATCTTTTCATGGTTATATACATCTGCAGTAATACTGTAGTCAAGAAGGATTTGTGGAGATGTCAGCATCAAGTTTTAGGGGTAAGCAAATATTATACTTTTTTCAGGGTAATCTGTGGTAATTCAGAAGACAGGGCAATGCGTAAACGTTTACAGAAACCTTCTGCAAAATGTTTCTATACAACAATTAACCAATGGCACGTTGAAATCCTTCAGTAGTCAGTCAAAATTCTCTACAATTCTGTATCTCTAATTTTCATTAGAGAATGCACTAAAAGAACTGATGACATCTAGAATAACTGGTCCTAAAAAGTGCTCGTCTTGGTCTCATTTACCGTTTTAGAGCTCTCTATTTAAGAAGCTGTGTGCGGTATCCACTGTGCTCTCCTACCCCCTAGAAATAAAAGATGGGGTTGATCCATCAGTCCATATGAAACGGGCTCCAAACTGCAAAGCGTGCGGGTGAAATTGAGCTTCTACGCTGTAAAGAGACAAAGGGAAATAATCTCCCCAGCACCCTCCAGTGAAAATCTACAGCAGATTTCAAACCCTGGGTATCCAGAGCAGCTGGGTTAAGATTGAGGGCACAATCTCTTCGCTTCAGGAGTATGTGGATACGGCTAATTTAAACCCAACAGTGTTAGGAGCAGAGAGGCTCAGCAGCAGATGCTCATCTTGAGATTAAGAAAAGATGCATTCAGAAGGGTGCATCCTTCAAAATAAAATATAGAGCTGTTGCATGATGCAGTATTTTTGATACATGCCCACAGAAAAAAAAAATTAACATCTTCAGCTTATCTGGTTCTGTATTTTATGTGCTTAGTTCTTCAATCAAACACACATTGTAGTTCTCTCACTCCTACCTTGAAAACAACTATATTACTTGCTTTAAGACTGAAAAACCTGCAACATTTAAAAAAATTTTCTCTTGGCCATTCTAGGCATTGAAGAAACTCTGTTCTTAGGTATTGCCCTTTTTCCTTGGGCCTGTTGACCCCAAGGTCAAAGTGAGACACTCAGGGGAGTTTTTGATGGTTTGGTTGTTTGCTTTTTTTTCTTTTCTACTTTATCTTGAGCACTGAAACCAACGTAGTCTCACCACAGGTCAGAAGCATATGAACAACAGCTATTGTATTTTATGCTATAATGGAATGTTTCTGCTTTTTATTGTAGATTGGGAGGGCTAACATCTAAAACATCTTCAGTTTGTTTCAAAATTTTATGAAAGAGAAAAACTGATTTTAAGACCTAATGACAACATTTAATTTGAAGAACGAGATCCAAAAGAAAGCAGAAAAGCATCTGGAATTAAGCTGCACAAGGGCCTCTCTGAAATTAAGCACATCTATAGAAGCTTGTCCAGAACAAGTACTGTGGAACAGCTTTCCCGGGCCACCCATTTCCCTGGAGGAACGAGCCCTTATTTCTTCACAAGACTTCTATATAATTGGAATATACATCTCTGTTTTAAACGTGAAACTTTGAACTAGTAGCTCCAACCAAGATTACTGCAGTTTAAAGAAACCAAGTAGCATTAACAAGCACTGCAGTGAGTCCAAGCTGGAGCCGCAGCCACCAGCCAAGACATCCACTTCTTGTTCCAATAAAGAGTCACATCCCAACTTACGTTCCGTCCCTAGCTTCACAAAATTACAAAGCTCATTGCCAGGAGAGATGTTGTTTATCTCACCACGTCTTGACAGTACAGGCAAAACATCTCTAAGGTTCATGTAATTTTAACATCCAAGGTAACATTCACTGTAATCACTCAGCATGGGATGTGAAGTAATCATTTTAGGCCCCATTTCAATAATAGAACACACCTCATGTAATTATTGCCTCACTGATGGATGTGAGGAAAGCACATCGATTTCAGCTCAGAACAGAGTTACTCTCTTGCTTTGATTTAACCAAGATCATAAAACAAGAGAGAAAAGTTCCATTTAATTTTTTTCCTATCTTTTCTCTTTTCTAATCCTCCCTCTCAAAAATTCATGCGTTACAGGCTGTCTTTGTGGTTTGCTGCACTCTCACAATCAGTAAATGAGGTCCATAAAAGCTTATTATTTGAAAGGTCGGCTTAGAAAGAACCTACTAAACCCAGGGGATCGGCAGAGATCCTGGAGAAGCCGGCATAAGATAAAAAGAACCTGGTTTAAAAATACTGTCTACAAAGATGACCAAATACTACACTCTACACTACAATAATAAAAGTAGTACATCGCATGGCTAGACATTAAAACGGTCTCCATAAAAAGGCACAGGGGGGTTTGTTTTTGTTTAACAAATATGGATAGGAAACAAAAAATGAATCGGTTCTGCCACAAGGTTGAGGGTCCATGCAGAGATTCATTCACAGCTAAGAAAAAGGCTGGGTTGTGTTGGTTTTTTGTTTGTTTGTTTGTTTTTCTGTGGGTTTTGTTTGTTTGTTTGTTTTTTTATAATTTTAAGATGAACTGAAATCTTTTATCATTTTAAGATGACCTTGCACCACCACTGAGAATAAATGGACTGCACCTTTCCTACTCCAGTTAAACACACTGCACAACTCCTAAGCCCCATGTTAACTGGCCAAGATTTCCTGCAGCCTGCACGACCAGTCCCGGCAGGCAGTCATAAACCTTAAACACACATCATGAAAAATAAGGTTTACACTAACTGAAGGCAGCCTTCTGGGCAGCTCTGTACGCAGCTTCAGCATTTTAGCTACAAAACAACGTGAACCAAGCCAAATGCAGACTGTTTTCTCCACAGGGAGCACGGCTCCCTGCAAACACACGTACTCACACGTGGCTGTAAATGTGGAGGGGGTCTCCCCCCCCCGTGGGGGCACAGCTCCCTCATGCCTCACCGCCACCAGCGCCAGGTTTACCGAACGCAGTTCTCGGGCGATCACTGGTGCTGCGGCTTTCCATCCTTGGCTTCGGTGTCTATCATCTCAATGGTGTCATTAAGATCACGGAGGTCCTGGTGATGAGCCAGGTTCTCTCCATGCTTTTGGTCCACAGATGATAAAACATCTATATCCCCTGCTGAGGCGCCGTTGCTCAACGCTGGAGGTGGTTCCCCTTCATAATCCTCAGGAGTGTTGAGCATCGGCGTTTTTGAAGCAGCGCGTCCTACTTTAGAGAAGGAACAAGCTTCATTGGGCAAAGGACCATCAAGGAAAGGAAGTTTCTACCAAAAGAAAAAAAAAAAAAAAGACATTAAAAAAATTAACAAACGCTATTACTCTCCGATATCAGGGATATATGAAAACTGTCAACATGTTAGTCCTGTGCCAGTGCCTCTGCTTCAGCTCTGTAATCCAGCATTAAAAAACACGGGCATAGATCCTTACACATTTGATACAAACATCATTATTCAATTAATAAAACTAAAGTTTTCAGCATTCACATTGACCTAGCAAAGGTCACTGATAGGTCTTCTCACTGGTACATTTTTTAGATGACTCTCCCACTACTGTATTTTCAGGAGTTTTTTGGTTTGTTTGTTTGGGGTATTTTTAAATATGCATAAAAGCAATGCTGCAAATAGAGCCTTGAGCATAAAGAAAAGCCACGCTTCTTTCATGCAGCTGGGCAGGACTGTGGTGGGTTGACTTTGGCTGGACACCAGGTGCCCACCAAAGCTGCTCTATCACTCCCCTCCTCAGCTGGACAGGGCAGAGAAAATATAATTAAAGGCCCGTGGGTGGAGATAGAGACAGGGAGATCACTCAGCAATTACTGTCATGGGCTAAACAGAGTCATCTTGGGGAAACTGGTTTAAATTGGCATCAATCAAATCAGTGCAGGATAATGAGAAATAAAAACTAAATCTTAAAACACCTTCCCCCCACCCCTCCCTTATCCCAGGCTCAACTTCACTCCCCATTTCTCTCCCTCCTCCCCCCGAGCAGCGCAGGGGGCTGGGGAATGGGGGTTGGGGTCAGTTTATCACACGTTGTCTCTGCCTCTCCCTCCTCCTCACACTCTTCCCCTGCTCCAGCGTGGGCTCCCTCCCACGGCAGACCCTCCTCCATGAATTCCACCAACGTGGGTCCTTCCCACGGGCTGCAGCTCTTCCCGAACTGCTCCAGCGTGGGTCCCCCACGGCGTCACAAGTCCTACCAGTGAACGTGCTCCAGCGTGGGCTCTTCACGGGGTCCCAGCCTCCTCTGGGCACCCCCCTGCTCCGGCGTGGGGACCTCTCTGGGTGCAGGTGGGCATCTGCTCCACCCTTAATCTCCGCGGGCTGCAGGCGGATATCTGCTACCCCATGGACCTCCCTGGGTTGCAGGGCACAGCCTGCCTCACCGTGGTCTTCATCACAGGCTGAAGGGGAATCTGCTCCGGCGCCTGGAGCACCTCCTCCCCTCGTTCTTCACCCACTTTGGTGTCTGCAGGGCTGTTTCTCTCACATATTCTCACTTCTCTCTCCTGGCTGCTGTTGCCCCACAGATTTTTTTTTTTTTTTTTTTTTTTTGCTCCCTTTCTTAAATACGTTATCCCAGAGGGGGGCTACCACCATCCCTGCTGGGCTCAGCCTTGGCTAGCGGCAGGATCATCTCGGAGCCGGCTGGCGTGGGCTCTGTTGGACATGGGGGAAGCTTCTGGCAGCTTCTCACAGAAGCCCCCCTGGCAGCCCCCCCACTACCAAACCTTGCTATAAAACCCAATACGTTCTACCCCTCACCTCTGTGAATTATATATTTAAGAATTATCATTAAAATCCACATTCATCACACAATGTTCACTCACATCAACAAAAAAACAAAAAAAAAACAAAAAAAACAGAAACCACCAAAACATTCCCCACACCAAAAATCAAAATATAATCACAACACCAAAAAAAAGCGGACAATTTCCACACAATCCACCCCTTGTCCTTTCACCACAGTTACAACAAACTCCCCACAATCCTTCTGCTCTCTAACATCGTCCAGTCCATGTTTTGCCCTTTACCTCTCCCGGTTACTGCCCTTATTTCAAATTCCTCCTGCCCCATACTGGGCACCAAAAAAGGCTGTGGTGGCTTGTCCTTGGCTGGATGCCAGGTGCCCACCAAGCCGCTCTATCACTCTCCTCCTCAGCAAGACAGAAAGGGCCAGAAAAGAAGGTGGGAAAAAAATCCTTGTGGGTCAAGATAAAGGCAACTTGATAAAGCACAAGCAAAGGCCGTGCATGGAAGCAAACAAAAACAAAAGATTTATTCTCTACTTCCCCTCAGCAGGTGATGTCCAGCCACTTGCTGGGAAGAAGGGCTTCAGTACCTGTACCTTTTGCTCTGGAAGACATTGTAATAAGGGATGTCCCCTCCCTCTACTTTCTCTAAGCTTTTATTGCTGTGCAAACATCACATGGTAGGGAATATCCCTTTGGTCAGTTGTCCCCGCCGTGTCCCCTCCTAAGATCTCATCCCCCCCAGCCTGCTTGACCTTTGGGGGCGAGGTGGGGGGAACGCTGGGCAGACAGCCTTGGTGCTGCAGAGCTCTGCTCAGCAGTAGCCAAAACACTGGTGTTCTCAGCCCCTTTGAAACCAGCTCCCGACACACAGCACCGCGCCGAGGGCTGCTGCGGGAACATGAACTCCATCCCAGCCAGAACCCATAAAATGACAGAACTTCAAAAACTACCTACTTCCCCCTCACCTTGCACTGCTGAGATAGATATCTACGTCTTCATATAGATAAATACAGGTCTTTGGGGAATTTGATCAGAACTGATCAAATCATGAAGTGTGTTGCTATTTATTATTCTGGGTTGAAGAAGAGAAATTGCTTTTTCTGGACTCAAGATCTCTGCCTGTCAAACACAAGAAGCAAATGTGCAAGATTCCCCATCTTGTTTTAGCAAAGCACTTCAAACCCGAGGTAGCCACTTTGAGAGAATAATTCAGCCTACACGATCCAGTTATATTTTGGCCATGACACGAAAGCCAGCTTCAGTAACGCAACTGTTTGAATACCTGTGTGATCACCAGTTTTTCCAGTGTGGCTTGTGAATGAGAAGGCAAGAAAGGAAAATGTGGGGATGAGCTGAAAAGAAGATTTTTGTATATTCGTATTATTGGGGGGGGGGGGGGCGGGGAAAGCAGGTCTATTCTTTTATTTTCTCCCTCTCCCTTGAAGTTTGCTGTGAGTAGAGTTGAAACCCAGATGCTCTTTTAACACCTGCTTTGTTTAGAGAATTAGAACATCAGCAGCCCGCAACAGAACTTGACCAAACACAGCTTTAACCTAGCAGATGAGAATTTGAGGTAAATCAAACCTATTTATTACAGCAGTGTCACTTAACACCTTGTTCTGCCCAACTCCGGCCAAGCATGTTGAAACAACTGTTCAGTGTCAATGTTCAATCCCAGTGGTATTTGTCAAAACCACCATGTGATTTTAAATATTAAGATTCAGGACTCACGCTTTCCAGTTCAGATGCATTGTCCTCCAGTTTCATCTTTTGGCTCGTGCAGCTTAGCAGATGATCCAATACACACTGCTTTGGATGCATTCCTTTGTCAAAGCGATTATACATCCCACACCAAAATCTCAAGAACAGGACAAGAAAAAAGAATTAGGCGGCCAATTGTACATTACCGGCTAACAAACTAGATGCTGTTTAAGAGAAAGATTTTCAACAAATTGAGGTTAGTAACCGATTTTAAAAAATTTTCACAGCCTTGGATTATAAAATTCAGTATCAGTGGGAAAATTTTCATAAAGTTCAAAAAAAACTTCTGAGGATTTAAGTACCTCTGCCTTATGATCCACATGCACTGGCAGTAGGTATTAGCATAAGATGAAAATACACTTTTCTCTAGCAGACTCACTGGAGGCTTGGGCAGGTCACCTTCAAGTCCTCAGCTTGCCCTACCTCCCTACTTTTATTAAAACCCTTTGCCTGCCAGTAACAAAACAGCACTTAAAAATACATTTGCATCCCCCTCTCTCTCGTCAGGGAACAGGAGGGAGCCAGAAAGAAAGCAAAACCAACCACTTCAGCTGTAACACCCTGGGCAAGCAAACAGACATGGCAACAAGAAATCCCTCTTGTGAAAACCACCCTGACAGTACAAGCCTAGGTGTGACTGGGCACCGAAATTCCTGTTTGAAAGACTTCCTTAATATATATTAAAAAGGAGGAAAGGAGGAACTTTCTTTAACAACTGCCTACCCTCTCAAGTAAATTTGACAGAGCAAGCAGTCAGAGTGGGTGTGTGGGTCTACACATCTGAAGTTCTTCTTTGCCTTGCCCTTCCCCACCCTCTTTCCCAACACCAAAGAAAAACTATTATTTGAAATCACAGTACCTGTAGTTATGTAACAATTACCTGTGCACTACTATTCTGTTTATGAACGAGGAATGGAGGGGAAAGGTAAAACAAACCATGCTAAGCAGTGAAAATTTTATTAAACCTGAATTACCAATCTAGACTACAATGAAAGAAATGCCCCCCTTCTTAAATAAGCAACTTACTGGAAACTGAAAGGTAGTGTGTTTGGTTGAAGCTCTTTGTAAGCTGTAAATCCTCTGTACAAAGGATTTCTTAATTCCTGCTTCTTCTGTAAGAGGAAAGGCCACAGAGAATGGGTCTTCTCAAAGATTCTGTCAAATTACAAATAACATCTAATCACTAAAAAAAAGAATCAAGTTAAATGGATTAATAATGCTAGCCATTCTAAGCAGAATTAGATTAAGGGAGGTAAGAATTATTTTCACACAGTATCTGATTAATTTTATAAACACGAGATACATCACAGAGAAATATGTAATTATTTAAAATGAACACCATCCAGTCCAAAAGGTGTATCTGGACGTTATTACTGTGGTCCAAATTAAAACATGTGACTTTGGGGATATAATTAATGTGGGATTTTTTTCACGCTGTAGAACATAAGTATTCACCAAGACAATGTGACCCATAACCAATCTACAATCACATTAGAAACACACAAACCAACCCAACCTGCCTTTTTTCTGACATTTAAAGTGACTTCTAGACTGCTGGCTCTACAAACTGTCAACTCACTTCAGATCCTCACGCTCCTTATGACAGGTCCCAAGGAAGTTGCCAAACTGGCAGGAGTAGACATGGTCATGGATTTCAAGGAGGAAACGCTCATTAAACTCAAACGTGCACGGGAACTGCTGCATGAGCTGCCAGACACATTCAACGAACTGAGTGAAGACAGGGGATACTTCTTTGGGGTCACCATCCAAATGGCCACACCTAGAAAGATGCAAGCAAAACAGGGTTAAATCCCGTGTTGCCCAACAAAAAAAAGAACCCCCCTCACCATTAAACCACTGAAAAGTTTTTTTCGCTACTAGACTAAGAAATTATTCTGCAGTCAGAAAAAAACCCACGTGGTTCACCTTACAGCAACCGTGCACTAGGATGTGCCACCCTCAGCTTTACTTCTTCTCCAAGGGTACCTGGTAGGAGTGATCAGAAGTGTGCACTGTCCCCGTCTCTAAAGGAAAATTAGCAATGGAATAGCCTACCTAACAGACTTGTAAGGATCACAAGAAATATTTGGGAAATAGGAATCCTTGAGCCTATGCTGTCATGTTAGCACAAGGGAAAAAAGGCAATATTCTCCAAAGAAATATCTATTGCTTGAATACAAGAAACTAATGCTAGCCTTTAATTGGGGAAAAAAGGTTGACATTGGTGGGATTCTGTCTGTCTGCCAGGAGCAATAAGAAATAGCGCAGGGGAAAAAGTTTCCTCTGTGATCTTCTATGGATAGGAGAGTATTTTATGGTGCAGCCACAATGGGCAGCAACAGTCAGAACAACCTGATTTTGCTCCACATGGACATCAAGAGTGAAATTTTAGTAGGCAATTACTCAGAAAGGAAAAAAATAGAAACTCAAAGAAAGAAAACCCCAAGACAACAATAAAAAATGTTTTTACAGCTTTATATGAAGTTCAGAAAACCCCTACTAGTTCTGCAGAAATCTAGCCAGGGATCTATTGGTGTTCATTACAACCCATCACAAAAGAAAAAACAACCAGAAAAGGAATGAGAACATTTCTGGAAAGCAGCCAATACTCTACTGTAGTGTAACGACTGTTCTTAAGAGAAAAAACTTGGGGCAAAATCCTCCCCTTTTCTAGGAAGGAATATAACCTGTAAATCCACAAAACAGAACAAGGCATCCCCAAATTTAAGTGGAAAAATTAAAATTTCTTATGACGGATCTTGCTGATCAAACCCCAGTTCTCTAAGCAGCAGCATGGAGGAGGATTGGTCTCCCTCAGAACTGTACAGCACCGGCCACCACTACGAGAGAAATTATTCTGTCTACCAGAATAAAAGCTCATATATTCAGTCAATGCTGAAACTCACGACTCAAGTACTTTTTGTATCCATTGACAAGTTCTCATGCTTGGAACAATCCTTTATAATAGAAGAATAGGGGTTGGGGTGGGTTTTTCTGGGTCTTAAAGCAAGAAAGGTGAAGAGAGTCCCTAAAGAAGCAACAACGACCACAGAACATTTGTTGGGCCAATAATGACCAAACAGTAGTTTATCTTTGACTGCTGCTTCTTATATACCAGTACAGAGGTGTGCATATTGCTTATTTCCCACAGATATGCTTTAAGGAAACCGGTTTGGTTTATTATTAAAACCAGGAATTGGTTTCACATTGAGAACAAAACTTCAATTTTTAACAAGCTAGTATCACTGAATAGAGCAGTCCCTTCCCTCCTCATATTCTTTTGGACAATCTCAGTTTCTACTTTCTATATGGTAAATATAACAAGAAGTAATTCAAGGTAATATCCCTTCTAGATGCAGGCTATCAGTTACAGGAATGACAGACTTCTTAATGTGCCTAGAGAATGCAGGTTAGATTGCTTTTTAGCACTGTAACAGGTTCAAGTTTATGCTTTGAACTTAGCAAAATTCCTGAAAAACATGAGCTGAGGTTTTCTTCCAGATGATGACTGCAAAAGAATTCATATGTCTTGCGAGAACATTAACACTCCTCATATAATACGAATGTGATAAAACACTCAGAATTCCCACAGTTTGTTCAAAACTGATTTGGTAAAGTAATAGAGAAAAAAAAAACCAAAACAAACACAACACACTGATGAAACGACCCTAGCAGATACTGGCTTTATGTCACCAACTCTATTTTCCAAATCTTCTCTCTGTCCTGTATTTTCATCTACATTTTTCATGGGAGTACATGAACTTGAACACACTGTATTAGTTTCACAGCCAAGCCTTCACCCAGTCACTACACCCGAGATAACATGTTCTTCTTACCTGTGTGAGAACTTGTGGCCCATTGCAATCCACTCCTTTTCTACTAGAACCTTCAGTTTCAAAACAGATTTTAAAACAAGCATTACTTTGGTTAGAAAAAACAAAATGAAGCCTTCAATATTAAACTCTAAAAAGCTTACAACCAATGCTACCTGCCGACCCTACTGTTATGAGTATATCCACAGCAGTCAACAAAACCAGTAATAGTAATTTATAGATTAGAGTTATCCAGTTACATTATACAGTTACCAGTATAATGTCACTGCTGGAATGAGACGTTATTTCAAGTAAGTCTACTACTATTTTGAGGGAGCTTCTAGGTTGTTAAAATCATAATAATACACCGAGCTAAAAGTATTAGCAGCTTAACATTACGCTATGGACTATTTAATTCAGAAAAGAGTATTGTGATATTCAACAAAATACATCAGCAACTGCAATTCAACAAATGTTTAACACACAAATAGGAATATAAGAAGTACAGCTGTGTATTGAGGAGCTCCGTATGAAATCAGAAAAACTATATGGCTAATAGAATGCTTATGCTATACAAAAGAAAACAACAAGGAAGCAGTATTTTCGTTAAACACGTCTCAAAGAACCAAATGACTGATGCTGAATCCATTACTACTTGGCCTTGATGCGTTATATTTCAAGATCAATTCCTGACATCATCACCTAGAGACTTAAAAAATTAAAGGAAGGCAGAAATTCACAGGGTACTCTGAAAATTTAAATTATATCGCTTTTCAAATGTTTCCATTCTTTACGCTTCTGTTGCATTCATTTAAGAATAAACACTGTCATAGGATTTGTGCGTATTTGCTCAGAGGGCAGACAAACATTTGTCATTTTAGTTACTGTTTCTAATCAAAATCATGTTTCTTAGTTCACACAGAATTGTCCAGAGCACAGTGAAAACCCAGGCAGATGCTTCACACAGCGATGTAATTTTAACTGTTAAAAGACTGCAGTGTAATCCACAAGCAAAAATAATAAAACCAGTTTGGAATGCAGGGAAACAGTCTTAGCAGTGCAACATATTGGAGGAGGCAAAATTTGCATTGTTCTCATTTCAGGGTTCCTTTTCAGGAACTCTTTCAAGAAAGAGCAGCAGTCTGTCTTTTGGGTATTTAACAAAAGGAGATGAATGGAAAGATAACATCACAGATTGCACTGTATTTTACACAGTGATGGCTTCAAATAAGAAGCGGCCTGCAGTAGAAGCAAACAGCCACATTCATGTGGAATGGCTTTAAAAAACGGCCTTAAATGATGCACAGATTTTACGTGATATACAGGTTATATGCTGCCCTGTGCACAAGAATGAGCTCACCCAATTTTAAATCCTAGCCAATAAGAGACCATTCACTATGACAGTCTTAAATAACAAGCGTCTTCACTGCTTTTTTGTGGATTGCTGCCAGAGTTGCATCCTCATCTCTTGCTGAAATGTCTCATTAGTGGCTCTCATGTGGACGTTCAAGGAAACAAAGATTTGGGAATTGTAAATCAACCGCTGCTGTTCAGAGCAATTGATTCTTGTTTATAGAATTAAAGCTGGGTTTATATAGGTCACCTACTGTCCGTTCCAGGAAATGGCCTAAAATTTTAATTAGGGCCTGTTTACACTTCAAATCCAGGAAGCACTCTTTATTTTTGAAATTCCAACACTCATGTTCTTACCATGAAGCCTTTAGAAGTCCTATAAAATGGATCTAAGAGGAGGCTAGCCAGTGAGCAGACCTGTGCTGTGCGATCCCACCCATCAGAGCAGTGGACTAACACGCTAGCTTTCTCATCTTTCACAGCCTGTAAAGGAGAGACCAGACAGAACAGTTTAGCAGCTTCCTAGGCTGGTTACTGTAATTAAAAGCTATCCCTTCATCTGCATTTACCTGACTGGCCTAAAACCCATGAAGAAAATTTGTCATTTCTCATCCAGACACGCATGGAAATGCACCCTTTCTGCGCGCACAGCCATCAACCCATAGTAAACCCCAACTAGAATAAAATGCTGTAGCATGCCTTGTCAGCAACACAGACTGTCAAGAAGCAAAGAACCTCTGATCTCAAAATGCTTGGTCTTCTAAAAAGTCAAGAATTCCCAGTCCCCTCCTCTGAGGAAAAAATTGGTGGATGAATAAAGAATAGTAACTGGTCACACAGGGACTGGGAACTTCAAGAAAAATTAGAAGAGCTCATCCCAACATCTGCCTGTATGGATCACCTTCTTCCCCTTGTACCCACGGCAGAAGAGAAACACAAAGTAGCTTCTGGCTTGCTGCAGGGGAAAATTTGAAGAGAGAACAGACAACATTTACAGCAGGTCACTACTCTTTCCACGTGCTGCCTGCATGCCCTCTACTATTACTGAAGAGCCGCGCCTTAGTGACTTCTCGCCTTTTGTCTGACCTGCAAAGCCACAAGTGCTGCAGAAACGAGGACTGTGTTGAATAATCAAAATTAGCAGTCCCCACATCACGTGAAATCTGGAGAAAATTAACTGGTCTAAACAATCGCTCATTTAAAGCGGAGCAGTTCAATAATTGAAGAGCGCAAGGTTACGAGTTGTTTGCGCTAGCAAATAAGCGATGGAGACATTTACAAAGGTCGTATATTCACATTCCTTGATTTTGTTTGTTTCAAAAGTGTTCTAGCTAACTGCTTGTTACAATACAGTGAACAGGCCAAGGTCCCAACCCTGACAGCATCTCATTTAGTCACAGGAAGTGACTGGGCGAGCACCAGCTAGGTAACCCACTTGATGTTCTCCAACTGCAGGCTTGGTTTTGAGAGCTGAGGCCAACCTGAATAGCCATGTTTTCCCACCTCCTCTCCAGAAACAACTTCACAACCTTGGAGCAGTCCCTAACAGACAAGTACATATTTTTTAATTCACCTGCAGGTTGGAGTACAGTTTTACCTTGGCAAGAAAGACACCTGCATCCATCACAGCCTTAATGTGCCGTAACCAACCTGAGTTCTCCAGCCCAGTGAGGAAATCGCTCATTGAGGGGGACTTCATTTCACACACTAAGAACACAAACAAAGGAATTAGCTGACACTCCATTAACAACGTCTCTTTCTTTTTTCCCACCTCCTCATTATCTCTTCACAGCAACAGAGCCTGGTAGATCCTGAAAGCTAACATTTCCACAGTTTTTCACCATCTGCAGCAATATCCTGTCTAAAGGACACAGGAACTACTGGTTGCATACTTAAATACACAAACAAGCAATTTTTAGCTACGAGAGAACATGAGGATCTGGAAATATCCTCCTCCTTTTTTTAAAGGTAACTCATTTTTTCAGCTTCTTCCAACAAAGAAAGTGTTTAGTGATCTGTTACCTCACTATAAATCACCATCACACACACATCTCAACCACTAACGTGCAGTCACCAAAGATTTGAAGAGAGTGCTAATCTAGAGAGAGAAACAACGTGTCTAACCTTGAAGGCAACTCAGACGCTAGACTGAGACCCAGCATAGAAACTACTTATAATAATACAGTTCAATAGTCCATAAGCGAGAGAGATTTTATCACTGTCAAAGAAGAATATGGGAGTAAACAAGTATTTATTCTGCCTCTTCTTCCACCAGAAAATAAATCTGCCAGGAACAGGCAATTGAGGACTTAGTGATCAGGCCAATCTCTTGGTCGTGTGAATAGCCTCATTTTTTCCCAAGGTCACCACAGATACTGAAGCACTACCTGGCCAGGCAACTGGTAGCATCAATTATTCAACTATTTTGAAGCAAGATGACCATTATGCTGGTTACTAAAATATTAAACTCGTATTTTGAATGACAGCACTTGTATTACATTTTAGAAAACTAAGCACAGGGACCAAGCGGAATGATTTGCAGCACATACTCTGCCCTGTTCTGCAGTCTTTGTCAGCACAAGGATGGTAACAGTGCTGGAAACCAGCTAGCAGAGTACGCTGGTTTGATCCAAGCTGCTCCATCACCTTTAATGGAACTTCTCCAAAATTACATTAGTGAAAATACAGGCCAGATTCACCTCTTGATCTCCAATGGCTTGGGTAGGTATTTCTTCTGCCCTGCTTCGCATTTTCCCCCCTAAGATCACAATCTCACAGAGTAGCTTAACTACCTGAGCTACTCTGCATTTTAATGTATTAAAACCAAGTTCAGTTAAACATATCAGAAATTAATGGAAAATACGAACTATGTAGGCCTGAGATTAGTCCATGGAAGATCATGCCAAAAGTTCATTTCAAATCAGAAATATTGTTTAACAATTAAATACTCTAAACAGAGCAAACCCCAGAAAAGTATTTCCTCAACAATCTATGTTAGTTTTCTTTCAGTAGCTCACAAAGTAACCCTAAGACTATCTTAATCGTAAAATGTAATATTTCTCTAGCCGCCTTCTTTTAATTTGGCACGTATATAAGAAACTCACATTTTATAAGTAGCACAATTAAGGAATGTTTTTAGTATTAGTTGCTATTTTTGATCCACTATAAAACTAAGCACAATAATAAATAAAATGGGCAGCAGGAAGGCATTTTACCAAGAGCAATACTTTCAACCACTTCAGTATCGCAAACAAAGATAATTGACTTCGCTTATCTGTTTCCATCGCAACACCCAAGTCCACATGCACTTGTGCACTCAGGATCCATATATTCAGCAAAAAGTTCTGTCCAAAAGCAGCCACGGGTAATGAAGACTGCCCACTTGCACAGACTGCACCTACCTTCCAGGAGTTTCTGCAAGCTGTTCCGCATCACATGGATGTTTTCTATGCCAATAAATTTAAAGCGAATGTTATCATAGTTATCTTCATTCTCGTAACCTTTCCCAGCAGCTCGGTTCGCCATGGCATTTAACTGTCAAATTCAAGGAAACAGGAATAGGGAAAAAAAGAGAGAAAATTACAACAAACAATATGCAGAAATAAAAGACTGCTTTGCAGGTTGTTGTTCTTTTAAAATCTCCCAGAAAAATACACTGAACAAAGCTGTTACTCAGATGTACTTCCCCACCTCCCAGACATTACTTCCAGCTGTTTCACTAAAATTATGGCAATATCGCCAGTTCATTAGTCATATGCAGAGACTCATTAACACCCTGGACAGAATTTCTTAGGGCAGGCAGTATCAAAACCGTGCCCAATTTCCAAATACTGCTGTCATCAAAACAGGTAGAGAGACATTGAGTCTGCCTGAACTGCAAAGCTACGTAAAAAGATTCAGACAGAAGCATACGAAAGTAAAACTAGGAAAGCCATTTTTACGAGTAACATACATACATGGTGGTATAGAAATAGTAAGAGAATTCCAAAGCTTTTCACAGACATACATGCACAGATGAAATAAAGCCACCTGAGGGAAACATAGAAATATTAAAAGTTGAGCAGAAAGAATATAGCAACCAACTGGAACTGCAGAAAAGAAGTAGAAAAGAAGCCAGTTGCTCTAACAATTACCCAAAACAGTTCAAGAGCTACCGGGAAATCCTTAGTACTGACCAAAAAAGAAAGCAGCTCAACCCCCCCCCATTTTAATTTGGGAATAGGAGTGATTTGCCTCCATAGAGAGGAGAGAAGGAAGAGTCAGATAAGGTATATACATCTTTAGAACAAATAACCCTAGTGCTTCAGTTCTACCACTCAGGGGTAAGCCATGACATGTTAGAAGGAGAAATGTGACCAATTATGAATTCTCCCTTTTTCACCAAATACTTTAGAACTGCCATTAATGACTGATTTCAGTGGAACATCTATGATACTGGAAGCTGCCTGTACAAAAGAACATGCAGTGATTGCTATAAACGTAATTACAGGATAGCTCTCTCTCAGAAATGTCATACTACAAAAAGCCAAAACACATCTTGGAACAACAGATGAAACATTCCCTGTTTTCCCCAAAAGAGTTTTTCTCTTCTTGCCCTTACCATAATTTAGCTAAATCTGTAGTTTCTATAAAATAACTGTAAGATCTGAACAGTGAAGCAGGTTCTCAGAAAGCTCAATCTTAAAATAATCAGAGCACTTTTAAATCTTTGTATTTAAATAATTGTGTACTGTGAAAATGCTTGTGTTCTAATTTGCTTATACTGACATTCCCAATCAGTATGCTCACCAGACAACCATTTAAATTGGTTTCTAAATTCAGTTCCTCAAGATGACAGTCATTAGAGATTTCATCCTGCAAATGCTTCTTCAATATCCTCTTACATAGATATCTCAGCAACAAAGTTCTAGCCCCAAAGAGTGGCTACAGACCAGAAGAGATTAATTGTATTAAGCTCTGAGCTGCACATCATGAGAACATTAGTGTTATTTTTACAAAGGCAAAAAAAAACAGAGGAATTGCTTTTCTCAATTGTTACCAGGCTCCATAGAGCCCCACCTCTTCCCAGGTCTGCCGATAAAAGCACTTCAGCCTCTTGGAACTGAATCCTAAGGCTTCTCTCCAACTCAATATATTAAGGACCTGGCTCTCTGCAGGAAAATGCTTCACTGTCTCAGCCAGCTTCAAGACTGCCAATTGCTTCAGGCCATCCTTGACACGAACCTCAACCCAGAATACTCCAGGAGTGTGAGCGCTCTTAACAGCACTTAACATGGCCGGTTTATTATGCACAAGTATTTGTCACATTAAGACACCGAACCAGGAGCCTGATACCAAATTCCTGATTCAGGACTGACACAATTTAACCTCATGCAGCGTAAGAAAGAACGAGCAGAGTTGTGAAGGAACAAACTGGAAACAGCATTACTAATTCAGACACAAGCTTTAAAAGTAGCCACAAACCCCGTGAGGATACCTTTGGCCTTGTGTCTACAACATACATGAAGGGGCTCCCAGGGTTGGCTTCCCTGATCGCCTGCAGCATTTGTTCGTCCTCCAGACAGCGCGCGCTGAAGCCGGAGAGGGGCTGGCTACACCGACATATGGCAGCCTGCAACACACAACGGCTCACATCACCTACCGCACTGCCCCGAAAAACCAACAAACTGTGTGTTCCAAGTGTCCTAGTCTCAGTTTCACTGAAGAACTGCTACTTAAATGGACATATAGAAATACTACTGGAACATTCCTCAAAGCTCTAAGTTTGGGAATCTTAAAAATAATGAGGCCAAGGAGCCTTGCTCCAAACTTCAGTGCTATGTTCTGAAACCCCTACGCTCTGCTTGATGATCAGCATCCCAAGTGTTAACATTTCCCATGTTTTCTGCTTGGTTTCTATTGTCCAAACCATTCTTTTCCATAACTTTGCTTATCAGTTGTTACCATTCCATGCTCAGAACTGCACTGAGTACGCTTTAGGGAAATTTCAGTAGCTGCCAGCAGAACTCCATACAGTTGCCCAGGTCAAGGCACGCTTCCTCAGGAAAACAATTTGACTGTGACAGCATTTTCCTAACATCTGCATCTAAAACATTGCTGAGACAGCAAAGTTAAAAATTTACATTCTGGTCTTCAGTGGAAAAAAAAAAAAAAACAAAAAACCAAAAACTGAAACCTTCACTTATTCTGAGCTAGTGGGGATTTATTTCAGGGTGGTTCCTCCTCTCCAATACTAAGAACAATCTAGCTGAGTTAACATGTATCTTGTTAAAACATTATTCAATATAGCTAAACAGTAGATTAAAAAACCCCATGTAACAAGGTATTGCTGAAAGTTGATTAAAAAAAAAAAATTCCAGACAAGAAACTTTGGAAGTCTGTGCTTTTTGCACAGCTCTGGATGCCTCCCAAGTGTTTGTCTTTAGCTTATTCTGCGACTCAGAACCAACCAATATTAAAGCTGTTAAGAGAAGCACAGTTCTCAAACATGAAGTTAATATGCTCTAATAATTATCTCATTCTTTCCTTTCACTAAAAAGGGGACTGGACAAGAAGGTGAATCCTTACCCACCCCCACCCCCCCCAAAGACAGTAGACAATGAACAACTAACATTGTTTTCTTTATATAAGTAAGAAAGCACCGGAATCCGCCCTCTGCTTCTGAACCTTGAACTTCCAATCACCACTGCCTTATTAGCAGCTCTAGGCACCACTATTTCTGGAGGATATGTGTTGCAAACCTAAGTGAAGAAAGAAAAAAATCCAGATATTACTACTTAGCAATTCAAAATTCATCTTTAGCTTACCATCTAGTATTTAGAAACAACAGGAATTGATTGTTTGTCACAGTGTATCTAACAGTCCACATCTAAAGTTTCTAGCCATTAAGATGCATTTAGAAAAACAACATAGGAATAAGTGCACAATAAAACAATATGGTGAAGGGAACAATCAATTTTGCAATTGAACCTAAGAAAAATGGACTGCACAGTACACATATATATTAAAAGGAAGTTCTTTAAATACATAATCTTACGAAAGTTTCCGATCTGTCCCAAAAATAGAAGGTAAGGACAACTACATATAAAAAGTTCTCTCAAAACCTTATTGAGCTTGAAATGAGCTTCCAGCAATCAGGTAGTATCCTCAGAGACCAGCTTTATCCTTTTACCTCAACCAATTACAGTCTTTTCAGCATGTACTTCACAGGTTAGTTACTCTCCAAGTCTGGCTTTACTTTAGGCTTGACAATTTCAAAACATAAACTGGAAACCCTGAGGAAATTATAAAGCACTGGCACTGGAGAGTTACATACTAGCAAGTAAAGCTTCAAAGCGATTAATGATTTTAGATGCCCACATTCAGATGCCCTAACCAGTTAATGGAAATAGCACCTCTCACCTCGTATCTCAATTCAGGCATCCAAAGATACAGTCATTTAAAATTACCAGTCACTTCTGACAGCACAGGTTTATATTTCTTCAACCCAAAGCATAACAGTGAAGAAAACTAGTGGGGGAAGGGAGCAGAGAACAGGGGGAGGGGATTCAAGACTTAATATACCGGTATCTTCCTCAGAGTTGTTTGCTTTGTCTTTTAGACTGTACACAACATCAGAAGAAATAAAAAGGGAAATAAGTAAGCCTGCTGAAAAATGCTTTCATTTAACATTGTTTAGATCCAACCTGGCCTTGCAGGGGAGAAAGGGGAAAAAAAAATAACAGCAGCAGTCAGGACCAAAATGACTGAGAGCCCTTATTTAGCAGAAGATCCAACCAAGCAAGGCAAGACACGTCTGTTTTCCGTTACTGTTTTTTCCTTCCTGACCTAGTCCCTTTCCACTCTGCTTCATTCCCCACCAAGCCAAACCACTGCCATCTATTTCTCTTCTACACATCTGTCACCAGCCTGGTGGGACAGGGTTTGGAAATACACAAAGCAGCTAAGGGTACTTCAGGTTTTTCCTAACAGATGGTTTAACATTTCTCTAGAAAAACAAGTATCTGGTACATTGCCAGGGGGATCAAAGCAAACCAAGGTGACTCTGGAGCTCTGTTCAGTTCTTTCACAGTATCATTATCCACAACTTCACATCAAGACGATGCTGCTTCGATTAAAACCAACTGAGCTCATTCCCCCCCAGAGGCATCCATTATGCAGCAGTAGGACTGCTGTATGTCATTAATAACAAAGAAGAGATACTGCATTAAATGGCTACTTTGGGCAAGAATTACCTCATAGTCTTTATTAACATCCGTTATTTCCCAATAGTCATTTGGAATTCCCATACGCTGGTAATCTACTTTTAAATCAATCAGCTTCCATCCAACCTCCCGGTTCTCTTTAGACATTTTAGGATTATAAGAGAAAGCATAAAGTTCTTCAGGTTTCACTGGGAGGGAGAAAGAAAAAAAAAAAAATTAACTACTTGGAGATAAAGACATACAGAGAGGTCAACACTTCTTCCTAAAGGCCATCTTTTGGATAGGCACACTGCAAGCCAACGAGCTGCAGGTGTACGGCTACTGATACAAGGACTGCAAAAACTATTCCGTCAAGAAAGATCAGGAGACTTAGAAATCATTTACTAAAGAAGCCAAAGGGCTATGCCACTGTACTGCATAGTTGGCTATATTTTAATAGTAGTTATTTTCTTGTTATTTTCTTCATGCTTCTGTCTCCTCAAATATCAGAAGTGTGAAGTTTTCTTTTATCACTTTGCGTACTGCACGACTCAAAGCAAACTCAAACTGATTCTCACTCTTAAAAAAAAAAAAAACAAAAACAAACAAGTACTACATATAAGAGTATAGATATTTAAAACTTCTCAACCTCACATTTACAGGTTTTTGTTCTGGCTAGTACTCAGTGCTGACAATTCATCCTGAAATCCTCAGTTTCTACATTCAGGAAGATATGCTACAATGTTTTGCTAGAGTTAATTAAAATTTCAAAGAAGTAATTTTTCCCAAACAAATGATTTCCTATTGAATTCACTGCAACAGGCATGTTAGAAAAAAACTTATATCCTAATAATTAATCCATAAATTAAAACATATATTAAAAGATATATTTTCTGTGAAGAGTTCATAAAACAGCTCTTGCACACCTGTAAGTTCATCATTCAACAGCGAGTTCTGAGCCGCATGGAAAACTTGATAGATGTCTTGAATATGACTGCCAGCACAACAAAAGCTTCAGGCTGTGTCTGACAAATGGTAATTTCTTCCTCCCTCCATCTCTACCATCCCAATTTCCTTCCCTCTCTTCATAAAATGCAAATCCAACCAATAACTCATTCAGCTGATTCCCAAGGCAGCAAGCGCTCCAGAGACAGAGTGAAACCTGTCGGAGTCTGATAAAGTAGCCGGGTTACCGGACAGGTAACCCATCGCTGTCAATCATATGTGCAAATCATAAATAATTTTATGCTCTGCCAAAAAAACATGAAGGAAGCATACATACAGAAATTTTAAAACAAAACGAGAACTGTTAAAATCCATAAATAGAACAAAAGAAAGAGCTGCAGCATATTACACACAAACCCACAAGACAAAAGCAACTGATGTAATTCCCTGCAGTGACAGCTCCCACGCTTCAAGACACAATGTAAGTGTCTAATTTTCAAAACTGAGAGAACGGTGACAGCTTTTAAACCGAACACCAGAAACTTGCCAGATACAGCATTAGAATTAGAACTTCAGAACTAAGAAAACTCCAAAGCTCAGAGCACAAGGGAGATGCTGGGAACAGACAGGAGCCTTAATATCAATCAAAAAAACCCAAACTCGGCAAACCCCATTCAACTACAGCATTTCTATTCCCGTGCTGTGGGATGGCCAGCATGAAGCAGACTGGTGCTATCAATTCCCTGACATCATTACAAAATACAATTACAAATGGCATCCTTATAATAAAGTCGAACTCCAAATCCTGGTTCACTGAAAGAGCACCCCAAAACCAGAAGCTCCCACAGACAGACAGAAGCCAGGTAGGAAATTCGGTGGAATGCTATCCTGCAAGAACAACAAGCAGCCTTCAGATTCATCCATGATGGGCTAAAAAAGCTGAAGCCAGACAAGACAACAGGCTTTTGAGGATGTTTGGCTTAGAGTCTTTAAGAGTGACTCCAAGTCAGGGCAGCCAGGATGAAACACAGGGTTTCACAACTGGAAGACAAGTACTGAAGAGTAGCCTTGAGGTGCTATTGGGAAACGAAAGATGTCAATGTTTAAAGCTTTATTTGTGGAATTCCAGAATTCTGTGAACATCTGGGTCAACTGGAAAGGGCAGAACTACACACAGCCAACAGCTAAGTCACAGAAATAACCAACAATGGCCAGCTATGGGATAGGACACTCAGCAGAAGGGCTACGAGAAAAAAAAAGCCTGAGACGCCGCATACAGCCTCAGTCAGGCAAATGAGTATTGCATGGCTCTTCAGAAATTCCTCATGGGACACCACCTCATTCCCACCGCCACAAAAGATTTGCGTTTAGCTTGGAAGCAAATGCCCCAGTCCACAGGGCAGCACCCTACTTACTGAGCCGACCCACAGAGATCATCTCTGGGGGTGGGAACTGATTCTGATTTCACATCCTCCCCGTCCTGCACAGACACCACAAAGCCAAGAGTCTGGCAGGCAAAGCTCTCTCTATTGCTCAGACGAGCCTTCCAGCTTAAAGCGTTTCAACAACTTGCAAAACAGACTCCCATCCTAAATACCTGGTTGTGAAAGTTTAAGCAATGAGGTATACACTTCATGACAGTCACGTTCCTGCCCAATAACGAAGTGAGCCACATGGAAGTTCTTGCAGTGAATAAGGAGTGGATATCCAGCTGTGGTCAGAGGCAGTTTTTCTACAGTTGCAATATGGTGGTGCAAAATCTGAAAAACAGGAAATAACATTTTTCAGAAACCACTGATAAGGTTGAGAGCAGTACAGGCAGACATTAAGGTTTTGCAATATTATCAGCTATTTATGGTTACCACAACTAACTAGCAGCAGAAAGTGAGTTTGTGACATTTATCAAACAAACGTAATGAACATCCAGACTGTGCCCCCAGAGGCTAGGTAACTAAGAGCAAGACTGAAAAAACAGAGGTGTACATAAATTACTTTCATAGACTGATATGCAGCTCTGTTTACCTGGTTCACTTTGTTCCGCCCCCCACTCCCATATGCAATATATTTGGTCATTCCCATTTTACTTTAGCATTAATAAAAAAAGGCTAATTTCAGTGCTAATTTTGCAATTCTAAAAGCTGTAAATTCAAGTTTGGTGACTTGGTATACTGAATTCGAGACAGGAAACTAGACAAGTTTTTTTTAATGTTCCTGGAACTAAGATATTCTTCCGAAACAGTTGTTTCTGTTAAGCATTTGGTATCAAAATGCTATAAAAGTCTGCGTCTTTGGAATTCACAAACCTGTTCATTTTGGATGCAAGATATAAAGTAATTTTTACATTTGTGTTTCAACAGAGCCCAGGTATCAGAACATACCCATGTTTCTTTTCTGACTTCAGCAGAAGCATCTACATAAATAAGGTGGGTAGCTGTCAGATATAATGTCCCGCTTGCTGCCTTCCTATTCGTATAGCGATCTAATAATTTCACGTTTTCAACCTGCAACATAAAAACAGTATGAAAAAGTGAATTTAACTTTGACTGAGAAAATACTTAAGCATTTGTTGAACTGCAATCATTTAACTTCTAACACCCAACTCAGGAAGACAGAAAAATATAACAAGTCAAGTCACCCCTGCAACACTAAGTCAGCTTTACACTATTAATTCAAGTTATTTCTCCAGGTATTAAAGCCAAAAAGGTTAAGCAAACAGTCAAGGTTTAGCACTAGTATAACAGGATTACCAGATTTGTAGCCAAGATGATCACAGTTTATTACTGTGTAAGGTTGCAGAAAAAACAAGACAAAGAACTGGGAAAGAAAATACTTTTTTTGGATATTTCTATCACTCTGAAGGAAACAGTCTTCTCCAGAATGAATTCCAACTGCTCAGTCACTGTAAAAAACTATTACTAGTTACTTCTTGTTACACACTTCCTAGGCATGTAAGTGCATTTCGTAAACCACACTAAGCTAACCAATAAAAACAGTTTTAAAAAACATCAGCGCAGACATAATGAAATACTAATTTTAAAGTATTTTACATTATTTGATTGATCTTCTCCTAGCCTATTTGCTTCTTAATAAACATAGATGGAATTTGTCATTCATCATTAAGTCAAAATAATAGAAAAAAAAATTGGAAGGGCAATGAAAACAAACAGCTTAGAAGTATACGATTAATTAGTTCTGGGTATTGAATATGTAAGCTTCCTTTCAGGGTCACTGGTCTGAGATAAATCATGGAAAATGTCAGCAAAGAAACTTTAAGAGCAGAGGTCTCAACTGTATGTCTTCCTAGTATGTCACGTTTTTCAGCACACATAATTATTACATCTAATGTTGCCCTTTTTCAGGCCCCGAGAAACAAGCTGGTCCAGCAAAGCACCTTAGGCAACATGGGTAAGGAGCATCCCCAAACTAACATCCTAGAGAACAAACCAAAACACAGCAACCAGCAACCTTCATGGTATTAAAATAAATAAATAAATAAATAGAATAAATAAATCAATCAACGGCTGGACAGCTGCCTGAAGTAAATAATTTTTCTTCTGTCTGGAAGTAAACACAATTTTTTTTAGCCATCATGAGCACAGCATTCCCAGAGCTCCTGTTTCCACTTCAACTAAAAAAACCACACTTTGATTCACTTATTCGGACTGAGGGGGCCTCCGCACTTGGATATAAACGAAATTTACAGACATCGTAGCCAAAACACCTTTTGATCAGTACCCTTACTAAAAATTTCCTTTCCAACAAGACGATACAGTAAGAAACACCTAAACACCACGTCTAGTAGCTTTAAGCCTTCCAGACTTGCCGGTGACCCATTTGAGAAGTGCAAGGGACGCTCACGGGTATGTACGCCTTGAAGGAAAGCCAAGATAAGCTTATTTATTGAAATTAAACACGACCTCAAACCAGACTGAAACAATAAAAAAAAAAAAAATCCCTGAAAATGCACAGCCTCAGCCTAGGCCGCCGCCCCCCTGAGGGGCTTCACCTCAGGTGTCCCGCGGGGAGGCCCCGGCCCCGGCAGGGGAGCGGAGCCGCGGGCCGGGCCCGCCGGGCGCCCCGGGGAGACCCCGCCAAACCTCTTACCTTGGGGGTGGTGATGTGCTCCATGGCGGCGGCACCCCCGGCCTCGCCTCACCTCGGCCCGCCCGCGCCGCCCCGTCTCCGCGCCGCCATTTGCAGCGGGCAGCGCCCGGCCCCGCCGCCAAGCTCGCGAGAGGCGGGCGGGGCGGCGCCGCGGCCGCCATCTTGGGTGAGGGCAGGCAGCGGCCACCGCCGCCCGTCGCGGTTTGGCGGGCCGGGGGGCTCGGGATATGGCGGTTCGCGGGGAGCCGGTCCCGGGGAGCTGGGGAGAGAGCCTCGCCACCCTCCGCCGTCCTGACCAGGGCTCAGCCCCTCCGCCCCGGAGAGGCTGCTGGCCTGCTCTGGTCCCGCCGCCACCTCAGTGTCTCCAGGCCCACCGCTGCCTTGCCCTGCCCTGCCCTCCCGCCACAGCCGTACGCAAAGCGCTCGAGGGATATTTCATGAGGAAAAAAAAAAAAAAAAAAAACAAAAACAAACAAACCCATCACTTTTTACCTCAATGTGTAAGGACATCAGCTCTGACATCAGCATTGCCCTCAATGAGTAGCTGGCTAATACAATTTCCTATTTGTGAAAGGGGGTTGAAGACACGCTTAACCACTACAGGCTCTTAATAGAATTAATTGCACCTGGTTTATCTGGTTTTCCGTATATTTCAGTTTTAAAGTGTAATGCTGTCCAGTGGCTCGATCCTGAAGAACTGCTGTAATTGCTATTCACCTGCTGCCTCTGCAATGAATATTCATAATCTCTCGTAAACCCACGGGAGCAGAATTTCCCCAGGTTTTTGTTGCAATCTAAACCCTTAATTTGCTGAGGAATTTACTTCGGGAGGATGTCCTTGTACCAAGCCTGAGAATTTACAGTTTTTAATTGTTACATAATGGGTGATATTAGTGCAATGTGCCAGTCAAGTGTTTGTAATGGATCCCAGCAAGAAAGGCACTTGGATTCCATAAGTTGTTGATTCAAATACTGTTTATTAGAGATGACACAAAAATGGGACAGTAGAGATACTGTCACGTTCCTTCAGCTGGTAGAAAACGCAAGCTCTGTGGGGTTGGGCAGACCCCTAGCCATGGCATGCTGCACTGGTCCTGTCCACCTGGTATAGGATGCTCTTACAAGTAACCAACAATATTAATTTCTACTGCTTGTATAAAAACACACTGCTTCACTTCGGGATAAGGATTGAAACGCAGGTGGTATAATTGCAGGATGCCAAGCAGCACCTGCAGGCAGGCTTCTCCACCACAGTTAGTGGGGGCAGCGCTCATTAGTTACGGCTTTGCATTTGTGCTGCACATTGATAATCCAAAGTAGTTTTTCCCCGGTAGCTTCTCTTGGGGTTTGCAGAAGGATGATGTTAGTTTACAACGTTAATAATAAACTGGGTAGAGATCACTGAAGGGGACTCTACAGCACTGCACAATGTACACGTATAATAGCAACTCTTCTTCCTTCTCTTCCCAAAGGAAAGGTCACATACAGAAGGAAAGAAATAAAAAATGAGGGAAGAAATAAGCATATTGAGATGAGTAGAAGGCATGGAGTGATAGATATATTTCTCAGCCAGAGGCTATCACCCTCATAGCTTACTCCCGAACTAATTATTATGTCACAGAGATTAGTTCTGAGCAGGAATCCCAAGGAATAAAGGATGCCATCTTCTTCCAGGGAGCTTTTCTCATCTAACAGATGGAGCCATGGGCAAACTACAGAGCAGAACTTTGCTGCTGAGACTGGCAACTGCTCACAGTGGAGATTCAGGTGATTCAGCTTAATCTGTGAGAAATGTGAAAGTAAAGGCAATTCTAACCCACCTTTATCAGAGGTATGCTGTAAAGGGGGGAGATGCTGTCCAACACACAACTCGCTCCTTCTCACCTGACAGCAGCAGGTTTTCTGTTCATTTTTGGACCTTTCAGGTCTTTGTCCACATCTTCTACCAGAAATCCGTGTTTATTGAACCTGAGGAGATGAAGCAAAAGGAGGTATCAAAAGAAAACAACTAAAGGAGAACTAGGCCACAGAGTTGAGCTTAGCAAATAAATTTTGAGTGTATTTGGGGAGCAGGCTGAAATCGTAAAAACGGATCTCATAACCACCCAGATCAGTGATGAGTAGGATTTTAAAAGAAGGTTATTTCACCTGTCCTCCAGCTTCTTTTGTTCTCTGTTGCTCTGCTATTCTGATTTCTTTTTTTTCAAAGATGATACTTAGAAAAGTCAATTTGATGATACTTTTTGCTAAGGCAAGGTTGCACTGCATTTCATACAATTAATTAGAGCTGTAACCAGCTGGAATGCTTTTAAAAAAATCAAACTCCACTGCATTAGCTCCATCAGAGCATTCACTCCATAATAAGAATGCTGAGGCAGAACAGTGAAAGAAACAGCTGGATTTTCCAAGTACCAGGAAGGTATTTTAAAAACATGAAGTGGTGTCATCAGTAACTCATGCTTCTGACAGACTGGTTGTGTTGACGTGGAACAAGGAGGATGTGTCACTGCAACGCAGCATGTTCCCTCGAAGGCCTGCAGCATCTCAGCTGAGCAAAACTCGTTCCTGAAGGCCTCTCCTTTACAATATTGGTTGTAAATATGTCCGTACGGCTCACAGGAGTGCCGTTTGCCGCCGAGCGACTTCAGATGTGTACTGAGCCAGGCAGAGCCCCACCAGCCATCAGCACGTTGCTTCTGGCACTGGCGTACGCTGTAGGCACATCCAAAGAGATCAGCCCTGCACCCGTTAGAAGAGTGGCTTTGGTGAATATTTTTCCTGGACAGAGGCTTCTGAATCTGAACGTTCTCTGCTGCATCACGAGGGGCACTCGGTGTGTTAAAACCACATGTGATGGATGAAGAAAACTGACACAGAGCTGTGTCTTGTACAGGGCCACCAAGACAATGTCACAGCTTTGATAGAATTTCTAAGTACAGCTCACAGCATCTTCAGACTACAGATTTTTTCCTGTCATTTTAAGTCACATTTATTACAGAATTCCCCCCTGTACTACAGGAACCTGTAATTCCTTTGAACCTGCAATTCTTTTGATCTTGCTCTGAATTCCTTACATTGACACCGATTCTGCCATTCGTATGGAGGCCACCATCAGACTTGCTTTCAGCGGTGCTACCCCCCAGACGTGGAATTGGTCAGGTTACTGATAGGCTTTCTGCTGATAGAAGAGTGGATTTCTAAACTTATTTTGCAACCTGGAGACTGGTTTGAAGATCTTCAGTTTGCAAGGAAAGGTAAGCTGAATCGTAGCTATGGTGTGTCCCACACCAAGCAATTCCTGTAATCTCATTTTTATTAGTCACTCACCATTTAGTGTTTAACAGGCAGCTGTACAGTACAACAATAACTCCCTATTGATAAGACAGTGAAATCTTGTGTAATGCGGATGAAAATTACATTTTGTCTGGGAAACATTTGAGAAGAAAATGATCTATTGTGCCATTTTTACTGAGTGAAGGATGGGAGGAGGCATCACTAGACACCCACACTGCTAAACTCTGGGACTATGAGTGCTAAAGGGGCTGTTGAAAAGGGTGCCTCATTTATAGAGAATGATGCCAAAATTCATTGAGATGATGGGTTTAGATACAATTCAATAACTAGTTCCAGTCAGTATGCACGCAGGCCTGCCCAGATGCTGGATTCTGTCATTTTGTAAGCAGACAGCATAATGTATGTGCATGGCCAAGTCCATTGCTGGTGCACTGATGCTAGGTCAGTTGAATGACACCAGGCATGAATTTGGCCTTCAGAATTTGTTTTTCTCACTTTAATGATACTCAAGAAATAGCCGTCTCAAGAAATAGCCTTAGGGAGCACAGATTTTGCCCATATTTTAGAATTTTGACTGTCACAAATAGATTCTGAAGTATCTTCCCAGAGAAGAAAAATTTAAAAGTAGCTTAATTCAGGGAATATGAGGCTGCTGAGAAGCATGAAAGCAGAACTGGGTTCGGGCTCCTGCAAACTTTTTAACACTTGCAACTGTCCTTATTCTAATGGGCCCTTCAGTGGAAAATTTTTAAAGCTAATTTAATGAGGTGGTGTCCTTATGTGATGAGTTGCTGCATCATTATAATTACAGCCTCTGCTAAGAGACCCATATTATGCAATTAATTAGTTTCCCCTGAAGGTTTGGAAAATACCTTATGGAAAAGATCCGTGCCATTCCTTACACCTTTTTCTGCTGACCTCCCCTGGACAGCAATGATCTCAGTGCCATGCATCGGGGTCAAGTGCAGTGGTTCCTAACACCTGGTTGTCAATGTTATGTCTTCCACATCATAGGACATCAAGAGATATGCTTGACAAAACACAATTAGTTCATCCCTTGTACTCCCGAAGGAGTCACAGGACTAGCACAACACGTGCTGTCTCTGACGTGACACTGGTAAAGTAATTCAAAAATCCAGTCTAGCCCCCGACCTCCCCTTCGAAAGCTTTTACACCGCAGAAGAGGTCGTGACTACGAACAGGCACCAAGCAATCTGCATGCAGGGACCGTCCCTCTCCTCCGGTAAATTCAGTACAATCAAATGGAGCAACTCAGGTGTCGCTGGTATTTTTAGACACCCCGGTTGTGTTTGCTTTACTTTAGATTAATAATCTGCTGTGGTGGGGCTGTGGAACAGCACCTCCAACCTGCTTAGAGTGAGAAGGTTTTTAGTTAATTAAAGCATCGCTTGCAGAGATGGTAAATCACGAAGGAAATGTGAGGTAAGGAAATGTTCAGCAGAGTGGGTTCTTTTTTTTTTTTTCCTTTGCAGTTGCTGTGACTAGATGTTTTTAGTGGAAAGAAAACAAAATATCTTAACGACTCCGATGAAATCATCTGACACATCCACTTCCAGCAGAGTTTAGGAAGCTAACTGATGAACACATAGCTTCATCTGGTTTGTTGCTCTTGGAACTGAACTGAATACTTTCATAACAAACAGATGATACAGTGAAGTTTCTTCTCTCTTCTAGTGAATAGCTAGGAGCAAGTTATGATGTTTCTCAGATGCATTGTTTTTTTTCTAAATTATTCTACAATATTCTTCTTGCTTATTGCCTAGCAATTTGAGCTGCACTTCTTGT